AAAAAAAAAAAAAAAAAAAATACGGCAGAGTAAAATCAATAGCTTCTCAGTTATGCATCGGAGACAATAACCTTAATAGTTTTAAATATTTTTATTTAATTAAAATATTATTTTTGAATAAATATTATCTAATTTTCTAAACAACGAGTTTTTTAATTAACTTAGCTCGACCTGTATTTTAATTTTAAGAAGCATGTTAATATTATTCCAATATTCCAATTTTTTTAACGTTACTTTAAACACTTCCATTAATGTATTTATTAATCTACTCTAAAATATTTAAAAGTATAATAAGAGCGTGGCTAGGATACATTTATGCATTAAGTGTCAATTTTTGAAGGGTTTCTTAAATAAATATATTTTTTTGATTAATAAAATTAAAAGAAAACTCCAATAAATCTCTCGCTTGTTTATTATCCACTATCTTAACCTGTAAAATTTGAGATAGATACCATTCACCTGTAGGCTCTAGGACATCCATTATACTATTACTTTTTATAATGGTATTATTCATATCACCCAAAAATGTTATAAAAAGTAAAATGACGTAACTTTAAAAATAAAATGAAAATGTTATTTTTGGAAAAAAAAATTTGCCAAATCATGGTTATATATATATATATATTGGTTTATCGATTGTTCAAATAAAGATTGGTCAAATCGAATATATTATATAAAAGTTCATAAAAATAAATAAACATGATAATTTAATAATAATTAAAACATCATTTATTTATTACAAAATTATATAAATATAACAAAAACTTTTTATGAAAGTTTTCATAGTTGCAAAAGTTACAACGGGTTTTCACCTGAACGTGCACATGTCGCTCATGGCTGGGCTATAGAATAATAAAAAAAATAAACATCTTTTTAAAATAGCAGAAAATAAGTCTTATTTTCTTAAGTCAAACTGTTTCTTGTTAATAAAAATATTATATCGATGACAAGGTATTAATTATTTTCTTTTTCGTTAACCTAAACAATCGGTTTACGAATTGTAACGAAGTTACTTGGAATATAAAAAGGTTTTGTAGTATTTTAAGTTTAATAATTTTAATATAAATTTAATTTAAAAAAATATTAGCTATGAGTAATCAATTCTAATTATTACAAGAATTAATTATTTTATAAATTTTAAAATTAATAATTTTCAACTTTCTTTAAATTTTCGTGAAAATTAATTTTTATGAAAATTTACATCACTAGTAATGTTGTTTGATCTTTTGTGTTATAACAAAGGTAACACTGTACCTAAAACTAAAAAATGCAGGTGTTAGAAATATAATAAAAGGAAATTTGAACACGTATTAATAAAAAAAATTCAATAAGTTTTTAAAAATTGTACAATGTACTTAAAAAATTTGATAATTTTTCTATTAGTTACATTTTGCTACAATATAAAATTCAGCGATGAAGCCAAAAAAATTGAAGAAGTAACTACATTTTTTTTTACAACTATTTTAATTTAGCTTAAGTTTAGTTTTTTTTGTACAAAAAATCATAAAAATCTTAACTTATTATTATTTATTGTAAATAATTTTATCTTTTAAAAACGTTATTGCAAGATAAATTTACCTTAAGCTTTTATTCTATTAAATTCGTGTGAAATCATTGTTAACCATTGTCAAACAGTCTTGATAAACTTTTTAGATTGTCTAAGTACTACCAAATACTTTCAGATTGGCCTGTGTCGTTCTCTGCACCAATTCTTAGGTAGTGCTTTGAGCGATTGCTCAGTGAGTCCTACCACTGGTTCTGGTCCAACATAGGTGTTCTCTACTCTTTTCCTGACTAGTAAGTCAGCATTTTCATTTCCAGTGACACCATTGTGTCCTGGTACTCCGCTAGTGTAACTTTGTTGAACCTCGTTAGTTATTCTAAAGTTTCCCTGCATTTGAGGACCAGCTTTGAATTCACCTGATCATTATAGAGTGCTTTCAAAGACGCTTGACTGTCACTTAAGATAGTTATCTTCCTATTTTTGTATACCAGCAGGTTCTGAGCCCCTACCAGTATCGCCATCACCTCTGCTTGGAAAACAGAGGGTGTTGTGCCCAATGACATACTAACATTTATTCGTGGCTTTAAACCCCAAATTCCAGCACCTAACTTTCTTGATGTTTTAGATCCATCTGTATATATTACAAATCCTCTTTTTTCAGTCAGGTGGTTAATATACTATCCTCTACGTGTAGTGATCTTCACTTTGTAGAGAATGTTATTCTTAAGAATTGGTTTGATATAGTCCAAGGGGTATTCCAAAAAGCCTGGGTCTATCACTTTCAGTATTTTACCACGTTCTGTTGTGTCACTCTCCAAAGTCCACATACCTAAGTTGTGGAATCTTAGTGCTGTGGCTTTGGCGTGCACTTTAACCTCTAGATGCAGAGGAGGCAATCCGATTAGGGTCTCTAGTGCGGTCGTTGGTGTAGTTCTTAATGCTCCAGTGATGACTATAGCAGCCATTCTCTGTATGTGACTAAGTTCATTCCCAGCTGTAATGAGTGCTGTTTTGGTCCACCAGACTAGGGCACCGTAAAATATCATAGGTTTAATCACTGAAGTGTACAACCAATACATAACTCTTGGTTTAAGACCCCCATGCTTTCCCAAGCCCTACTGCAAGTCCACAATGTGGTCATTGCTTTTTTGATTCTTGACTCAACATATGATTTCCATTTTAGCTTACTATCTAAGATAATACCTAAGTATTTTACTTCCGATTTTAAGCTAATTTCTTGTCCATTTAGAGTAAGATTGTTGTTTTTAAACATTTCTATTGCCTCCCTAATATTAAGATTTTTGTAATTATCTACATTTTTAATTAGTTTTATGGTTTTAATGGAGTGATTTTGTGTTAATAAATGTTCAGCCACTGGAGATTTCTCAACTTCTTGATTTTTAATATTTCTTAAGTGCTCTTTAAACCTGATCCCTATATTTCTTTTTGTTTGTCCTACGTAACATTTATTACAACTTTCACATTGTACTTTATAAATGCCTCATTTCCCCCCTTCTTTTATCTTATCTTTAGAGTTACCTAATAAATCCCTTAAATTATTACTCTTAGATGTTACTAAAGTAATACCAAAATTCTTAAATATTCTAGTTAGTCCATTTGAGATCTCCGGATAATATAAAATTGATGATCTAATTACTTTTTGAACCCTCAAGCTAATTTTTTAATAATTTAAAAATAAATAGATGATCTTAAAAAAATTAATGATCAATAACAATTTTGAATAAATATTTTAAAATATTTTAGCATTATTATATCAGACTGGTAGAAGTAAAATGGTTAAAAATTAATTATATTAAAACCAACCCACTAATTATCTTGAATCCCTGTATTAAAGTCTTAATATTTTCCAAAAAACTGATTTTATAATTACTAAAGACAGGTCAATTCCTTAGTAAGATCATTTTCTTATTTTTAAAAAAGTGAAAAGTTTCCTTTAAAAAAAAATTAAGTAGACGAAATTTTAAAAGAATAAGAGAGAGGTTTTAAGGATCAGTTTGTTTTTAAATTATAATCGTAGGATACCGAAAATTCTTCTTATTTTCCATCGTCTTTATCTCAACTACTTAGGGTGGGTTACCCTTATCCTAAACTTCCGCATGACACCATCTCTCACATAATCTCCGCACATATGGCCATCCTTATATCGCATTTAATTACAACCCTCCATCTCTTTTTTGATTTTGCTCCACCTTTTCATTCATTTCTAATATCAAGGTCTAATTTTATTTTAGTTTAAGTTTAAATATTTATGGTCTTTGCACTAGACTGACTAGTCATATAAGTCATATAGATTCAAATGAACTCTCTAGTCATCTTCCAATGCAAATACACAAACTATATAGAATCATAATTTTCCTGTGCGGTCGGCTAGACATGTATATTAGGTTACCTACACACTGCTTAAAAGCAATTCAATTTTGTTGTTCAAACTTCTATTTTTTGTTTTTAAAAATTTAGTTTCGGGTTTTATTTAAATTACAAATAATTCCAAGATTAAATTAACAGTGATACTAGAAGCATAATTAAAAGGTTGTGAAATAACTTTATTTTTTTTATTTATTGTTAATTAATATTTTACATGAAAAACAGTAATTTTATAATTACTAAAAAAAAAATACAAATTTTCATAAATATTCCATGACCCAAAATTTGTTGAGCAATATTAATTATGGATATGTAACATTCTAGACTAATAATTCTCAAGATTATGTTATTGATATTAATGTAAGTCATAAAATGTTTATATTCCATGAAAATTTTAGAAAAATGTATTAAAATTTTGTAATAATTTCAGAAATTGATTGAAAAGTTGAACAATGATGTAATGTATTTTAGTACAACAAACGTAAATTTTATTATAATAATTTTGTTTAAGACAAGCTCAAGTTTGCATTAATAAAACATTAAGCATTATGCATAATTATTATTATTTTTATTTTTATTAGAAAAATTATAGAGTGGCGCTTTCAATTAAAATCTAGGAGCGAATTATAATTCAAAGATGTGGTATTTATAATATATAATTTAATTAGATTCTACATTATAAATACAGTTGGTTTTAGGAACACTATTAAAATTGAAAAAAATTTATATATAAAAATCACTTTTTAACATTATTGAAGGTATATTTTTATAAAACCAATCCAGTTGTACAATTTCAGTGGATTAAATACGTTTAAAATTAATAATAATAAATTACACTTGTAATTTTACCACTTCATTTTATAGAGTCACAAAATAATTCTTTTAAACAACTTTACCTACAACTATCTATTTATGGTTACACGTAGAATTTTTCAAAACGGGTAGAAAGCTTGGCCATTAATAAAACATTCATTTTTGAAATTACCATTTAAAAACTATATTAAATGTTTATTATCTTTAATGTAAGGTAAATTATTTTACATTTAACATAAAAATGTTGGTTCCCATTATTAGAATTAACATTATTTTCAAAACAAGTACAGCTATTTAGGGATATTCTTGAGTAAAACTATTTTTTTTTAATTTATATTTTTTTTTTTTTTAGAATACAACACAACTTTTTGAAAAATTGAATGATCTAGTGTATAATTTAATACATGTTACACCAGATAATTGGATAGCAGTTTCAGACATCGAAAAAAATTTAACCTTTTTGAAGGAAAAAAAATATTTAAACATTTTTAAAAATGTATTATTGACTTATTATAGAGGTATTTATATAATGCTATAAAATATTTCTTTAAATGCTAGTTGATTACTTAACTAAACCTCACAAAATATCTTCAGGTATATTAGAGCTAATCATTATTTTATTTTTTTAACAGTTACTTGTTGATCTGCTTCACGCGTAAAAATTATTTTCTGCTCAAATCCCTTACACCTTAACTTCGTATCAACTTTCGATTTTCCAATGTCCAATATGTTTTTATATAACCAGATTTATTCAATTAAAATAAAAATTTTATATAAAAATGTTTTGATATAATTTGTTTTATATTATTCTTATTTCAACGAGTTATAGCAGTTTAAAATTTAATAGCAATCAGAAAAAGTGTAGTAAGTTAATTTTAAAAGATTGCATTTTTAAACTGATAAGTACTATCTATTTATAACATAGTAGGGTTTACAGTATCGTATTTTTATGAGCTGGTGCGTTTATCGACATACGATATAACTTTGCTGTCTTTTAAAAATAAGTATGCATTTTTCTGATAGCTCCTAAACTTTCAACAGCTGTAACTCGTCAATAATCTAATATTACAAACTGATTTAAAAAAAAAAAAACGTTTTTTTCAATTGAATATATCTGATGATATAAAAAAAAAGCTTGTTAATTATTTTCTTTTTATATTTACTTGTCTTTATTGTTTTAAATCTTCGGACTCTACAACCCTGATAGGACCTCGATATTCATTAATTGATCAAACCCAAAACATTCAAACTTGGTCAATACACCTACCTTATTGACTCTTTTTTGACTATTACAAAAGTAGCTCAAAAGAAATCCATTATTGTTGAACAATTAAATAATGATTAGCTCTAATATTTTTGAAGATCTTTCGTGAAGCTTAGTAAAGAAAGATCATTGACGCAAATTCAAGAGGGCTTAGAGATTTTTAAACTTCTAAAAATTTTACCACAGCTCTTCAAAAATGTTTTAACAAAATTACGTACAATTATATAAAAACACATACATTTTTTTTCATTTTAAGAGAGATTATAACAAATTTTGAGGAGACTAAAAAATATTTCTCTATTTCTCTCGCTTTAACCCTTCCTTAATTTACGTCACTGAGAATTGCCCTGTAGATTACAAGAATAGATTTCAGTATAGAGAGTAGAACAGATCTAACTGACAACTACTATAACTTTTGATTACATTTTAAAAGTTGTCTTATGTGTTCATGGTTATCTTTTCATATAAAAGTTGTTATTTTGAACTCTTCTGTGACCAGATAAAGGGTTAAAATTATAAAAATTATACCAAATAAAAGGGAAACACATTAGGTATTTATAAAACAAAATTTTTTTTGATTTATTCATTTTTCAAAAAGTTATGGCAGTTTTCAGTAAAAAAGTTAAAAAAATTTCTAAATTTACTCATTTCAAAAATCGTAATTTTATGGGGAATTTCCCCTATAATTTTTTATTAAATAGTGACAGACATAAAAAAATTTTTAAAAAAAACCTTCACATTAAAGCTAAAAATTTTTTAAATAAATGTGTGATTCTTTATGAAAGAACCATCCATATGTAATATTCTCCTCTGGAATATTAATATAATCAATACCTCTTTTATTTCTAAGACCATAGAAAAGAATACGCTAACACGATTACACATATAATTTTGACTTTTGGCAACTATAAAGTAGACGTGAGTCATTGTCTTTCATGCCATCTTCGAGGCACCACTAAAATACTAAAAAAGGAAATTTAAATACGATAACTCTTTTACGTTTACTGAAATATAGAATGATGACTGAATGTGCCTATAAAAAGTATGACACATTCATGACGCCCAATCCCCGTTTATGATTTTTGTGGTACATTATACAAGGACTGGAGACGCTGTTTTTCCAGTCAGACACTTGCTCATTTTTCTCACTTAATAATCACTTTTATCAAGTTAAACTTTTAAGATTATTTCCTACGTACTTTAGCATATTCTTTGTACTGTGTGTCTAAAGACTTAACTTTTGTCACTAAATCTAAACTATACATTTGTTAAAATAATTAACACTTTCTATAATAATAAATACGCTTTTATTAACCAAATACACTTCTCTTTCATTAACATACCTACTATAAATTTTAACAACATTCTTAATAACCATAAATCTACAATCAAGATTCTACCACCATCAGTGAATATCAGGTGAGAGTAGTTTTAATACACTAACTACTCCAATAAAGTAATAACTAGAAACAAAGTACTTGTATCTATTATGTGCTTACAGATGATACCATTATCATTCTTCTTTATTAATATCATCCTGACCAACTTTATTTTTAGTTATTACACATACTTAAAATAATTTTTTTTAGAAAACCTACAAATAAAACATTCGGAATTGGGATTATTACTACAAAGTACATATGAGGCAGATCCGACATCTATAGTAAACGAGTCCGATTAATAAATATTTTGTTCTCTAAAAATATTCATAATTAAAAAATATGAATAAACAAAAAACCTGTGTGTTGATTTATTTTAACTATCTATTTATTTTAATATGTAACGTGACAAAAAGTATCTGTTTATTTTTTTTGTCTATTTGTATATATATATATATATATTTGTGTTCTGAATTATCTTGGTTGAGTCGAATGCGTACTGCGACGGCGTTAATCAGTTAAATAATCATGATAAGGTGTTGTGATTTGTTTGTGCGCTTGCGAGATAGTCAGCTGTGTACTATTTCAGACCAGTTCATGGACGGCATTTGTGTGTACATTCACCCCGCTCCTTTCCTATCTTAAACGTCATTTGCACTGCTCACCAATTACATTGTCGCCTTCTGATTCGAATTGTTCTTAATAATTTCCGGCACTGGGTATTTAATTTTTTTTTGACCCCTACTCTAAAGGCTAGCCGTGTTATCGCCAACGGACCGCCGGGTCAAACAACGGACGTTTTGTCGGGGAATAGCCATAGTTGGAATTGGTCGTATTATTTCCCGTCCGTAGCCGTAGATTTAGTTGTATGTGCTGCAACTTCTGTATCTCTTATAATATATTTTTTTAGTGCGCCATCCCATAAGCACGTATGGCGAATTTTTTTGTAGGTGTCCCTATTTATTTTTTTTATTTAGGTCCCACTACATGGCAGGCGTGTTACAATACCACCTGTCATGTTATTTATATTTTTTTGTATATATGTTTTGATATACATATGTATATCAAAATATTTGATATGTATATAGGTATTTGATATTGGTGATGCGTGTATAATATACACTGATATACACTGTATATCATTAATACAATGTGGTGACGTAGTGCATTTAATCCGGTGGGTACCCGAATGCGTTCATCGTATTCTCTAATTGTAAAAGTGTAGGTGTAACTATTTTTTTTATTAAAATCTAGTTTTTTTTTCTGTTTCCCTTTAATTTGTAGACGAGGTTTTTTGACCGTTTGGTTTTTTGCCTCGTATTAACTTAATTTTTTTTTTTTTTTTAATAAAGTCCTCTTAATTTAACTTAACTATCACCTTATTTTTTTTTTTTGCGTGTTCCATCTTCAATGTGTAATAAACCAAAAATAAAGAGAAAAGAAGAGAAAAGTAAAAGGTTAGAAAAGAAAAGTTTAAGAAATTGGTAGTACTTAGTATATTATTATAGTTACTACTTTTATAAGTTTATTTGTAGATTTAATGTCTTCAATTTTATTTAAATTAATTCTCTTATTAATTGTTTCTCTCATTAATTATTAATGATTTATCACGCAATAGATTGTTGGAAGTTCGAAAGCATAGATTAAATTGTACTTACCTTACGTCCTATGTAATACAATAATATTTCAAGTAATCCAGTGTTGATTTCCGCATTAAACGCAATACGATTTACACTATACGTCATATAGTCTATATAATTACTTACAAAAACGATTCAAGACATTAAATATTATGATTTAGTTACACAAAGTCTAAGACTGATCTTACTTGTAAAAGTTTCTACACACTCTATATCTTATTATAATATAATTTATAATCTGTATTTATTAATTTTTTACGTGCGTTGAATAAATTTTTTTTTTGAGAGAGTATTTTTTTTATTGAGACATTGATACCAATATTTCTTAAATTTTCCTCTGGCTTGGCCAAAACAAGATTCAGAAATATCTATATCTATGTAAAAAAATTATCAAGGCGAAATTGTGGTGGCCCAATGTGTCCCGGCACTAGAAAACGCCTTGAAAGGATGCGGCACAATAATCACCAGGATAAAATTTAAATACTACAAATATATTCGTAAGTTTCTCTGCGTTTTTTGCCGGCGCGATGTTTCTTAAAACAAAGACATTAGTAACGAGACTAGCTATCCAGTACGCATAGGTCTACAAATATATTCTCACCTAAAATACCTAATTCTAGAATAATATCTAGTTGCAACCTTTACTCTGTCTGCCGGAGCGATGTTTGTTAAAACAAAGACATTAGTAACGAGACTAGCTACCCAATAAGAAAAGCTCACAATAAATTTTTATTATAAAATAAAAATGTAAAGTTAGGTTGGATTTGTTATTAAAATAAAGTAATTTTAAAATGATGTAATGTTTAAAATATTATTAATGATTGAACAAATTAAATTAAATTAAAAGATTCACCAAAACAAAATTCACTTTAAAATTTCATAGTGTCATTTAGTTTTAAAGAAAAATATTCTAAGTCCAAATTAATTTAAAAAAATGACTAAGTCCCGGAGAGTGAAATCTTGAGTAGAGTGTCGTAGATTTTGTGTATTTTAAAATCGTCAAAAGAACTGGTTTAGATGGGGAAAAATGGCTTTTTATAGTCTGAAGGCGGTAGCCCATCGATCTCTACCGTGATCCTGGAAGCTGAAGCTTTGTATTCTAATTGGTTAATTAAAATGGAGTCCCTGCGTGTAGGCGTTACTTAATAATTTCTATAAGAGGGTTATTTTGTATTTTAAATAAGAGAACCCTGTTTTGATGATCTTGTATAATCATAATATGTGACACACATGTACAAATGATAACATCATATTATATGTTAATATTATATGTAATAATATAATATTACAAATGGACTCATGTATTTTTTTTATCTTTTTTCCTTTCAAAAATCAACACCCCCTTAGTTTATAAGAATGGTTGAGTATAAGGCTCATCATTATGGTTATGTAACAACTGTCATGAAGTTTTGGTGTACATCAACTATCAACGACTCAATGGACCTCAAATACAATTTTTTTATTATTATTAGCTTCGATGCGAAGCTGAGTAGGTATTAATTTTACTATGATATTTTTTTGTGTTTGTTACCACTCTTTCTCAGCTCTCATCGAACCGATTACTTTCAATGATACGTCAAAAGATCACAAATCGTATCTAGTCGAAGATATTACCCTCAAAAACTGAAAAAAATTCCCTCGTTCCCCGTAAATGGGGGAAAACTCCAAAAAAAATACAAATTTAAAAATTACTAATTTTCGAAATTTTATGAATTTTTTTACATAAAACTGATATAACATTTTAAAAATTACCAAATAATATAATTTTTTTTTTTTTATAGATGCTTGATGTCTTTACCTATCATTTGCTATATTTTTTTTTATAAATTTAATCCTTTATCTGCCCACAGAGGGGGATTTTAAATGACAACTTTTTCACAAAAAATACAATTTTTCAACTTAACTTTTGAAACTATTCCGGAAGGTTTGATACTTTTATATATATTCTGAATTAAAGGTAATGTAATATACTTTATTATGGAAAAAAAAAAATTGACCTCTGGAAAATGACTAACGTATGCTATTTTTGTGTGAAAATTTGCGATTTTGTATTTTACATTTTTTACTTTATTATGCTATAACTTTTTAAAAAATACAATTTTTTCATTAGAAGTAGTATTTATATATATCTTTCATTCAACATACTTTATCTTAATCAGGATATTAATAAGGAACTAGCAGAAGTAGATTTTGAAATAATCCACCAATTTTTTAAAATTAAACACTATCTAAAGATTTGCATCGAAGCTTTTTTTTTTGATAGTGATTTTAATTACTGTCAGATATCATAATACTTGATCCAACTATGCCACGTCACCACTGTGCCACGACCCCCCTGTGCTGGGTTTTTTTATATTTACATTTACTTAAATATTTTCATAATAAATTAATATTATTTTATTATATTTAATAATTTTAAATATTATGTGTCCTTCCACCCATAAACAGCCTTAAATGTGTTTAAAAGAGTGAAAAAGCATAATATTGTAATTGATGTAATTTATAAATTAGAAGTAATATTCTATATCTATGTAACTGTCAATCTTACTATATTCATCAACTAACCAGTTATAGATATAATACACGCAATTTGTATATTATATCAATTCGCGCTTTTATTATATAAATCTATTATAAATAGATTTATTTGTATTACACATAAACCTAATTAATTGAATTAAATACATCTAACAAACGATTGTCACCGCTGAACTGAGAACTTATTACAATATTAATTAAAATAATTACGATAGGAAACTAAAGGTAAGTGCTAATATTTATTTGCATGTTTTACTTTTTAAAACTTAATGTAATAATTGACGCGTTAGCATTATACTTCCGGTTTTACCGCTGGATGGTGACTGCGATACAGGTTGTGATTTTAGGAACCAACTAAGTAGATCCATCCTAGCCAGGTTTGGAGTTTCAGCAGCCGGACGAAATGGATATAGAGGAGTCAGTCCTGGATGCACCACCCATTGTCGTTCCATAATTCCCCGAGCTGGAGCGTATTACGGTAAACCAATCCCCTAGGCTCGAAGGGTTAGCCGACCGTTCAGACTGGGGGGGGGAGTATGACGCGGTGACATTGCACTTCCGGCTTTACTGATGGATGGCGACTGCGACGCAGTTACTTTTCCTCGTCCAACAGATCGCGCGATGCCGAGTGACCGTGGGTGACGCGAACCGGTCTGGCGATGCACCACATATAATTGAATAATCTTTCAGCACCCGTACAGAACACATAGTGGTATTTTAACGGCTTTTATTTATACTTGAATAATAACAATATATTGTCACCAATACTTAGTATTATTCGCCGTGTTATTATTTATTTAGTATAAAATAAACCTATAACTCCAGCATTGGCACAGTCAAATAAGGAAAATTTTGCAGAGTAAGAAGTAGTTAAGGTATGTTCTTAATAATTACAGCAATTATTATTTTTAGCACCCTTATTGAAGTATTTGCAAAATAGAGAATCTACAGCTTTGACTGATTAAAAGTGTAGTAACTCCCAGAAAAAGAAATTTTTAAGACTAATTAGTTATAAGCTTATTAATTTTTGGGGTTAAGGTATGTATGAGCAATAGACATAGGCTTATTATACGGACATTTTTCTAACGTGGTTTGACTAAAAATAAGTAATAGATAAATCCATAGGCCCGTCACGTGATCAGCGCGTTATCATCCCACTAACCTACTTGTAATTTATTTATATACTTGCGACTTTA